CTCACTCACTCACTCACTCACTCACTCACTCACTCACTCACTCACTCACTCACTCACTCACTCACTCACTCACTCACTCATCAGACTCACCAAAACTACATAAAGGAGCAGTCGAGAGCTCCAGAAAAATCTAAATTAACCAATTGATACACACACAAACTGTCCATTAGTGATGCATTAACAAAAAAAGGGTGAAATTGTCTAGAGAGCTGTTCCAAACTACATTTCTTTTTGTTTTACACTTATGTAAACAAAAAGACAAATATAATCTGTCAAAGTCTAAGATGACTTCAAAGCAGGAAGAAGGAGAAGGGAAGTCCACTATTTCAGAATGATAAACTCAGCCACCTGACGTTGGTGTGCAGCAGCAGATCAGGGTGGTCTGCACCTGCCTCCTTGAGCTGGGCACAAAATAAACGCCTCTGAAAACTCCTGGCCTGAACAGAGCAAGCGATCTTCATCGCAACGTCAATGACATGCTTCATATTTAAAATATTGCTGCACAGCTGCTGTTGAAGAATGATGCAGTGGTAGCTCCAAAAAATCCAGGAAAGTTTCAGACGGCTTAAATAGAGCAACAAATCCAGCAGTGCGCCCAACCATAGATGGAGCCCCATCAGTTGTGATAGATGTCATTATCTCTTCAGATTCCTCTTCGCGCTTTAGAGTCCCTGGTAACAACCTAGCAACCGTGGCAAACCATGCCCAGCATCATGCCCAGCAATTGCTGGTAAAATGTTTATAAGGCCCTTTGGTATTTTGTCAGCATTTAGTTGTAACCATGATATAACATTAAAATACTTAGAAATGAAATATTAGGTATTATAGGCTATTTTATTTTTGGCAGGAATTTGTCTTTGGATAGAAGACAATGCTGCAATATAACATAAAAGCACACACTCGAATTAATACATTCATAAATCTCCTGAAACAAAACAACAGCAACTATAAAACCCATAACAATTTACATAGTCTGTCATCATCATCATCATCATCATCATCATCTGAGCATCTTTTTTCCCCCATATTTAGTCA